TGGCTGACTTCAGGAAGCCCCTGCCCGGGGCTTCCTGGAATCAGCTGCTGATCAGTTTCAGCAGCAGCTGACTTGGGGATGCCTGGGATTCTTAAGTTGAATCTGTATGTAAGTCAGAACTGGTGTCCAGATTCAGCCGCTGATGAAACTGATCAGTTTCAGCAGTGGCTGAATCTGGACGCCAGTTCCGACTTACATACAGATTCAACTTAAGAACAAACCTACAGTTCCTATCTTGTACGTAACCCGGGGACTGCCGGTATTTGAATAGAGGCTTACTGATGTTTATTTAACGAAGTTGAGTAAACTCTTCAAAAATGTGTTCCTCTTTCTTTCAGATCCTTTTAAAAACTATGGTGCAGAGAAATATGGACCAAACTCTGTGTGTGTCATTCAGAAATCAGCATTTGTCATGGCACAGTGCAGAAAAAAACTTAGTTACCCTGACTGGGGCAGTGGATGTTATCAGGTAAGGATAATATTTTTAATAAATTAGAAACTGTTGAAAAAAATCACAGCTTTTATAAAAACTCAGAGAACTTGAGGTTAAGAACATGGCTAGAGAACAGTTGTGGATGTTATATTTAGTTCTTCTACAGATTTCCGATTAATTACTTGTCCAAGGTTGTGTCTGTGCCTCAATTTCTCCAGCTATAAAATAGGAATATGTGATGTTTTATCTTTTGTTATCTTCTCTATATGTCTAACTTAGTTTATTTGTGAGTCCCATTGAGTTTAGATAGAAGGCACTGCCTTGATGCAAGTTATTTTTTTATCATCATCATCATCTATGCTGTACTACTTAAAAACGGGTTCAAAAATATTCTTTGCACAACTGAAAATCCACTTGTATAAAATGGAGATGATTATAGTAATTCTTAATTCAGTGGTTCAGTTAGTAATTGCATAGAAAAAAATTACCAAATCTTGAAACAAATAACGGATTAAAACAATTAATTGTTCTAAAATTAGAAATATGTTTCCAGTAAATCTGTGGTGTCTCCAAGCCAGTTTGTGAACAAAATATCTACTTTTTTGAAGAATATATAAGCAAGTTTGGATAATAAACAGACTGTTTCTTTATGTTAAGGTTTCTTGTTCTCCCGAAGGGTTAAATGTTTGGGTCAAGGACACAGCATATTTGTGCAGCCGCTCAGGTCAAGTGTTAACTGTCAGCATTCAGATGAATGGTTGGGTACATGCTGGAAATCTAATTTGTCCAGCTTGTTGGGACTTCTGTGATTCTTGTCCACCTGAACAGGATCCTCCAGCTTCTAACATAACAAGAGCACCATCAATTGGTAGGTTTCCTTATGATTTGCATATGTGAAATAAAGATAAGTAAAACATCTGAGAACTTCAGAGGATTTTGTTGGTTGTTGCAGAATACTAAGTGCTATAGGATTTCAGCAGTGTAACTGTTCTTAAGTAACTTGAAAAGTTTTTACTTTGATTAGATTGGAATTCAACATATTTTCTATCCCATTTTTGTGGAGAGACTATATTGACTATCAAGTAAATCAAAATGGAGCGGCAATCTTTCCCTTCCCCTCTATGGCAAAATACTAAAAACTTTGAGAGGGAAGAAAGCAGAGCCATAGTGGTGGTACCTTAATACTGTATGGTAATGTTTCCACTAGTGTAGGGGAAGAAATATGGCTTGAGATCAACCACTTGACATTGTATAATCTCTGGTAGCCCTCCCAGAGATGTGTCTGCAGTCTATGAAGCTTCCACGAAACCACAAGACATGTGTGTTTGCAGGGTTATATGACTCTCTTGCAAGCTCTACAGGCCTGGACTCCTCCTAGTAGACCCCAGTGGGATAATGAATTAACACTTTTTTGTAATTTCACTTGTAAACTTGACCTAATGGGAATAAAATAACACAGAACATGTATAACTAGAGATATGACTGTATGTGTCATTTCTTAATAACTGGTGGTCTTCCTTTACTTACTTGGAGCTTTCATTTTTTAATAATTTGATTTCCTGGCCACTTTTTAAAATGAAAGTTGTTAGCAAAAAATATCACAGCACTTCCCTAATTCATACTAATGGTATATTACTTTCCCATAATTCTGAAAATGTTCTTTAGTTCTTAGATATGGTAGCCATAGTCCAGCTTTGTTAACTACATTGTCTCTCTCAACCTGCCCTCTAGACTCAGCTGAATATGCTATTTTCACCTCTAGTCCTTAAATTTTTGTATTCTTCTGTTGCAAACTATTAAAATATCTGTTTTGTTCCATCCTAGAAGTGGTCAGATTTCAGTGGCTATAGAAGAAATTAGAGAGTATAGTTTTGTAAAGTTTTTCTAGGGTGAAAAGAACTATAAAAATTAATAGAAGGTAAATTAACTTGAGTTCTAGTATCTGCTTTAAGTCTTTTTTTTCTTTTCAGCATCTAAGGAAGTAGCTCAAAAGCTTATGCTCAAATATCCTGAATTTGTTAGTCTTCAAAGTGCCACTGGACTTGTTTAGATCTAACACAGTATACCCTGTATTCCTTAGGTATAGAGATTATTCAAGTCTCTGAAACTGCTGGTTATGTTAGTATTACCCACGGTTATGTTAGTATTACCCACCTTCTTATAAATCAGTAGAAAAACATTCAGTGAGAACTTATAAGGGCAGATTCTTTTTGCAGCCCCCTCTTTCAGTTCTGCTGTTGCTTATTTCACCTCAGTTCTGTGCTTTGGTTTTCAATGTTCTGCTTTTTTGGCAATCTAGATCAGAGTTATTCAGAAAAACTCTTGTGAAAGTCTGAGACAGTTAAAATGTTGATTTCTTCCCCTCCCCCCCCCACACACACTTTTACACTTCTGGCTCTCCTTTTCATGACTTTTTCATCTATTTTTTGACCATTTTCCTAGTTGCTAATCCTGAAGCAACTGTAGAAGCGACACAGAGCACTTCCTGTCCTAAGGCCTAATCATGTTACTGCTGCAGAGTTCCTAGCCCTGAGAGGCTAATTTGCACTAACAGAAACAGTATTTCAAGTGAAGTTTGTACATATTCATGCTTTTTTTCCCCTGAAATATGTGCTTGTTAAATTGTTCTCTGTTCTGTATCTTAGGTTTGTATTTTGTAAATTGTATTATCTTTTATTTTTTACTTCAGATTTGTGCTCCTGTTCCTCCAGCCTGGTTATAACTCTCTGGCTGTTGATGGCTAATTTGATCCCTTTGCTGGCAGGATTTCTTCTTTGTGTGTGGAGTTAGATGTGGGTAAAAAATGTACTTACTCCAAGACTTCACCATCATGCTGCATCCCTCGAGTCAAGAGCACTACCATAGTGCAATATCTGCAGCAGTCTCACGTGCAATATCTGCAACAGCAGTCTCACGTTGAATGATTGCCTTTTGGTCTATCTCATGGCAATTAGTACTTCTTCTGGTAGCCAAGAAGGTGCTGACTGACAACAGCAGCTAGCTTTTCAGAGGATGCAAAGTTTACTATGTTTTCTCAAGAAGTGCCAGTATTTTCTGAATTCAAGCCTTTACTTTTAACAGTAATAACTGGGGGATCAAATGTGCTAGCTGCATTAGGCAAACTGACATCTCAATCGCTAGTGATATATATGTATGAAATGGTAAGAACCCTTCTTGGACTTTATTTTGCTAAATTCTCTTTGTAAATGGTAGCAGAGTGGTTTTTTTTAGCATCCTCAAACTGGAAATATATCTCAATGTTTCTTTAGTCAAAAGCCATGTAAAAATCAGTTGCCATCACTGTTAGGAGCTTGGGCTGAAATCGGCTTTTACTGAGTCTTGCAATTTCAGCTACAGAGAGACAGACACACACACAAAATGATAAGGCATTGCTGCCAAAACACCATTCTGTACTTTGAACTTATGATGAATTGATGGTGTATTTTCATAAAATTTGTTTGTTTATATTTATTTAAGCTCTAATAGCTGAACAAAACGAACTTCTGTTTTTTCTAAACAAAGAAAAAATGTTAGGAATCCTACTTCAGGTTTTCTAAGCCCACTTTCATTTAATGTGTGCCAGTTATATGAACATTAATACACTAAATATCTGAATCTTGCCAAGGTATTTTTACAGAAAGGGAACACTGATGTATTTTTGATGGGATGGTCAAAATATTTCACTTCACTACAGTAGTTTTTGTATTTTACCTTCAATGCATGTGTTCAAATTACAGAATTACGGTGAGGTGGATTTTTTTTTTTAAAGAAACTTTGAGTATTTAGACCTAAACAGCAGTGACGTAACAAAAAGTTCTATTCTGCATAAATAATGTGAACGCATAACACTTATACTTTAACTTGACTTTTCTTTGCGGGGGAAAATAGTGGTGGCGGCGGTCTTGACAAAGATAATGTTGACTACTTTAGGCCAAAACAAGACTAACATACTAAGAAAGCTACAGGCTGGGTCTTCTGAGGGACATGCAGCTGCTCTCTAAAATGATACTGAATATGTGAAGATTTAAAACATTGATATGAAAACAGCTATTTTTAAATGGTATATTTTTGAACTGGGGCATATTGTGCTATAAAGAAGCACAAGTTGGTGGTGAACAACATCTACATTTAGATAAATGTGTAGAATGCTGTCTCTACAGGATGGTTGCTCCTGGGAGCATTTACAGGTGCAAACGTGCCTGTATCTGACCATTTTGGACTTACAAATAAGTCTTGCTTGCTCTGTTCATTCTCATAGTTCTGATTCTCAGAAAACGGTTTCCATTACAGATGTAAAGAATCAGGAGTGCCCAGTGTTTCCAGAATATACCAAGACAAGGAGAATAAATATCTTCTAACCTCCTTTTAGCCTGCTATAAGGCAATGGAGTTGTCAGGGATTTGCTCCCTTTTTGCAAGGAAAAAGGGTGAGGATATAGAATAAAAATCCTTTCATCACAGATGAACTTATCCATTAATAAGAGAGAATTTCTATTATTGTTGTATGTGTGTTAAAGAAAAATCTGTGTGTGCCTACTGCATTTTGTTTTACATTATCCTTGTAAAAATAGGGTATTTGTAATGTGGCCAATGTCACTGAACCCCCAGATTGCTACACAGCTGCCCTAGGAATCACAACTGAGAATTCTTTGCCTTGGGCTAGTTTCAAGTTATGTACACTGCTTTATATTTTATGAGCCCTAAATGTGTGTTTTGAAATCCAATAACAGGGATAACATGCATAAAATTTTGGATTGACACCCTAAAATAACGAATAGACTGGTAATTTTTATATATACACAATGCAACAGAAGCGTGCAATGGTTTATTGAAAATCCATAAAGGTTTTGAGAAGATTTCTTAGGTCCCAGAGGTTGATAGTGTATCTTATCTGTTGTGCAATAATAGAATTTAAGTAGCATCATTCAGCAGTGATGCTTTTTATACTTGAAAAATGTTCTTGGTTATTTTTTCTTAGTAATGAAAAATATTTGCACTGTTGCAACTTTCTGATTATCTTTATAGATGTTAAGCATTTTTACCAGTGTTAATTTATTGCACTTGACATTTGATATCTTAGTCTTCTGTCTGTACAAATGTGAAACTTGCTGTCTTTGAATGAATAATCCTATCTTCAGCTGAACAATTATCCCAATTGTTCAGTCTTTCCTCTGAGAATTTAGTAAAACATGCAAAGTAGTTTGAAAAGTCAGTGCTCTATATATGTGCATTGTGTACTATACAGTGACAGTGGCAATTATGCATTGTAGAAAGAGAACTCACTTACCTGTCAGCACACTTCGAGGCAGATTTAACTGCACTCATTGGCGATGTCTACACTCGCGGCTTATTGCGCAAGTATGGCAGTTCTTGCGCAAGAATCCGCAGAGCATCCACATGGCTTGCCCGCTCTTGTGCAAATAAATTTACAGTACGGGGTGGTAAGAGAGGGCTTCTGGCGCAAGAGCTACACTCTTTTTTTTAAACAGGAGTAAGCCCTCTTGCGCAGGAGCTCTTGCACAAGAGGGCAGTGTGGACGCTTAGCCGGGGTTTCTTGCACAAGAAAGCCCTATGGCTAAAATGGCCATTGGAGCTTTCTTGTGCAAGAGAGCATCCACACTGCCATGAATGCTCTTGTGCAAAAGCACAGCTGGCACATGGCAGTGTGGACGTTTTCTTGCACAAGAGTTCTTGCACAAGAAGCCACTAGTGTAGACATAGCAATTGAGTAGTTCCTTTAACCCAGTGAAGTAAAAATATAATAGTCTTAATAATCTGAGATTTCAGTCATGACTTTTGTGAGAACATGCAGCAGTCAAGAATCCAGCTATGAATGGTAGAATTGGAAGTGACTTCCAGATATTTGCAAACAAATTGTTTGAACAAGTTTAAACACTTTATATTAGTAAGCTAATGACAGGTAGCCCTATTGTAGTAGCAATATGATGGCTGGTAACAAAGTCACCTTTAAGGTGAGAGTGAACGGTGGCTGTCAATTCAATGGAAATATCCCTTTTCATCTCAGAAGGAATAATTGAATAAAACTGCCTACCTCAGTTTTCTATACTGTCTTAGATTTAAATATTCAACATTACTGTTAACTTCCACAACTCAAGCTGAACAAGTAAAAACATCTCAGGTTTTTAAGAGCAGAATTAGAGGAGGAAGTATAAGCCATTTCAGAATGCATGCAGAATATACAGTTGAAAATCCTAGTTTAAACAATCATTTAGGCAGCTCTAAGTGTTGTCTACCTAATGAAATTGTCAGTGTTGTTTTTCTAAAATAACCTGCAGGAAGCTACTTTAGTTTCCTAGTTGCGTTTATTCTGTGATGTACTTATTACCGTATCATGTGGATTACCAAGCTAGCTTGCTTTCTGGACTAGCAAATAAGTTACTTGACTTGCTGTAGGTGAATTTTCTTGATTTATATAATAGAATATTTATTTTGTAAAGCATTACATATTTGTTATAGGAAAAAAGTGTCTCACTTCTGAGACTTCACAATTTTTTCCTACTTTTAATCTAAAATGGCAACTGACAGGTCAGGTGACTTAGATTTGAGGAATGCAATAGTGGCATAGTCTCAAATAACACTGGTCTACAATTTTTTTAGAAGTCGTCTGCTTCCGAGATAAAATGTGCTATTTATTATGTATTTTGATGTGCTGAATTCAAATATGACAATTAAAACAACTGATTGGCTACTGTTTCCAAGATATTTAAGTTTTTACATTACATCTATGTATATTGTGTAGATAGTAGAGTTTTAATCATAAATTGTAAACCTAGGTTTTTTCATGTGTTTATGGTTGCTTTACATGATAATATTTCACCTGTCCTGTTTATGTAACACTTTAAAAATCAGCAAAAGGGTTATATAAATAAATTTTTTTTTATGAAACAAAAGGCAAAAAAACTATTGTTTAATAACTAGGAGGCAATTCCTTAGAAGAGCAAGAGCAAGTCATATTAGCGTCACATTTCTTAAAACAGGTTTAATAGAACTTGTAAAATCACACAAGTTGGGGGTGAAATTCACCTCTGTGCACTGGAGCCTGCACAAAGCACTTTTCATGCTCTCAATATCCTGGAGGTAAAGTGGTCCATAGGCCTTCAGCTGGTTCCCTGTGTAGGAGCCATTTCTCCCTCGCTGAATAATGTTGCTGTAAATTATTGGATGAAGTTTTGTTTTGTTTCCCTCTCCCCTCCCTCCCAGTGCTCAGTTAGCTCTGGATGTAAACACAAGTGGCTCCATTTTGTTTAAAAACCCTCAGATACAATCATTCAGTATCGGGAAGTATAAAGCCACCAGCCAAAAGAAGACCTATGGAGGGTGGGGTTTTCAGTCTCCAAGGGGGCTTGGGGTAAGTCATTAAGATTTGTAACGGGAATGGAGCATCCAAATCCGTTAGACCTACACACAGTTTCCGTATGGGTAAAACCATGTTGATTGGTGGTGCATTTTTTTCCACAAAAAAAGTTACTGGGTACAACCCCAGTGTAAATGCACTGACACCAGTAGGAAGGGGACATCAGTCCAGCCTCTTCCCAAAGAGGAAGGGGAAACATGGGTGTGTCTAAACTACATGGCTCCATCAATGGAGCCATGTAGATTAGACTGATCGGCAAAGGGAAATGAAGCCGCGATTTAAATAATCGTGGTTTCATTTAAATTTAAATGGCTGCCGCGCTGAGCCGACAAACAGCTGATCAGCTGTTTGTCGGCTCAGCGCGGCAGCCATTTAAATTTAAATGAAACCACGATTATTTAAATCGCGGCTTCATTTCCCTTTGCCGATCAGTCTAATCTACATGGCTCCATTGATGGAGCCATGTAGTTTAGACACACCCATGTTTCCCCTTCCTCTTTGGGAAGAGGCTGGACTGATGTCCCCTTCCTACTGGTGTCAGTGCATTTACACTGGGGTTGTACCCAGTAACTTTTTTTGTGGAAAAAAATGCACCACCAATCAACATGGTTTTACCCATACGGAAACTGTGTGTAGGTCTAACGGATTTGGATGCTCCATTCCCGTTACAAATCTTAATGACTTACCCCAAGCCCCCTTGGAGACTGAAAACCCCACCCTCCATAGGTCTTCTTTGAGAGGGGATAGGGATAATTCAGACAAATGGTATGTAATGAGCAAAATTCTCCAAACCTTCAGGCAGTTCTATTACTGCAGCGTTCTGTTCTCCTAAATGATGAGTTCCTGGATCTTTGGGAGTCTGGGTTCATTGCAGGAGGATCTAAGGAGAATTTTGCTCTAGTGTTTTACTGATTTGGTACAATGTAGTTTATCTTTTTGATGAGCACTAATGAACTGGGAACAAATATCTAATCTCAAATCTTGAATCGGCTGCCCTTACTTAGGAGGGAGAGTGCCTGTTTTCAAATATTTTCTGTCCTGAAATGTTTTCTTACACTAATGTATCTCAGTGCAGCTGGACAGGTGTATGTTCTTTCTTCCCTGAAGTTCCTATTAATGTCAAGTTGGCAAAATGTGGCTGAACATATAAGACCTTGGCTCTGCAAAGTGAGATTGATGGGACATTGTGGGTGCAAGGGTCTGTATGCATACATCACTTTGTAGGGTTAGGGTCAATGTGTGTCCATTAAGTGATATGTTTGTGTGGTATAGAGCATTTGGCATCTCTGTACAAATGTCAGCTTTTTGAAATAAAAAGCTTATTCTTAAAACAAAAGAACCATTTGGGATGAGAAAATTAACTGTGACCTTGAGTATGTGTTTCCTGTTTTAATACAGAATGTAAATGTAAGGGTAAATTTTGCATTGTTTTTGAGACTGGAATTGAGGATTAAGGGCTAACTTTTGTTTGTGTTGTTCTGAGTGAAAGTTTTTGCTTTAGTGTAAGGTACAGCCATCTTAAAATAATGAAACAAATCATTGTACATCAATAAACACTTGTTTAGAAAATTGAACCTCAGTCTTGTGCTTCTCTGAGAATGACACACACACACTGTAAATTCAAACATGAAACACAAACAAGGAGAAAGTAATTTGTGTATTAGAATTGTCAATTATTTTAACAGTGCATTTGAAAAAGTGAAATTACAGCAAATACTTATAAATTTAGCAGTTAATCGCTTATACTTATATGAACTCAGACTTGATGTACATTGTCAACCCTGAAAATGCTATATAATAAAACAACTTCAAATGGAGTTTGGCTTGCCTAAGGAGACCAAAGAAAGGGCCCAGAACTTCAAACCCACAATCATGCCTTCCATTTAGAAATCATACAGCATATTTACTTTCAGTATTGAAAAGACTTAGCTTGAGGTATTCAAAGCTGAGTAGAGGATTTAGACATACACTTCCCATTGAGATTAATTGGAGTTGCTTCCTGATCCTGGTTAAGGTCAAGATTTTGGGCTTCTTTCCACAGTTCTATATTTTAATCAAAACAACTTTATATCAAGAATTTAACAGGGTTCTTGTAAAATGTGCAAGAAATTATTTTTATGATAGTCTTTGTATAGAGAATTTATAAAATGGTTACTTTACACATTTGATGTTTGATTTGATTAAAAAGTGTGTTGTGAAAAAGACAAGAAGTAATTTTTCTGCTCTACTCTGTGTTGATTAAAGTCTTAATTGGAGTAATGTGTCCAATTCTGGGCACCACGCTTCAAGAAAGATGGAGAAACTGGAGAAGGTCCATAGAACAACAAAAACTATTAAAAGTCTAGAAAACATTACCTGTAAGGGAAGACTGAATGGAAAAGAAAAGACTGAGGGGGGACATGATGATAGCTTTCAAGTATCTAAAATGGTTTTACAAAGAGGAGGGAGAAAAAATCCTCTCCTTGATCTCTGATCATAGGAGAAGCAGCAACGGGCTTAAACGGCAGCAAGAGAGATTTAGGTTGGACATTAGGAAAAATTACCTAACTGTCGGGTGGTTAAACACTGGAATAAATTGCCTAGGGAGGTTGTAGAATCGCCATCATTGGAGATATTTAAGTGCAGGTTAGATAGGCATCTGTTAGGAATGCTGGTGCTTGAGGGCAGGGTCTGGACTCGACCTTTCAAGGTTCCTTCCATTTTTAGTATTCTATAGTTCTGTGACTTATGGCCTAGCATGTCTGTGGAGTACCGGCAGAAAGTATAGGTTCCATCCTCTCTCAATGAAGAAAGGCTGGAAAATGAAGTACCACAATCATTCATAGGCTTTTAACCCTGGAAAACATCAAACGTGCAAAGTTACCCAAATAGTTACAAAACAGTGTTTAAAATGTTAAATTACAGCCTTGAAACTTGGCTGCCAACTGTGGCGAATTAAAATATTGGTGCACAAGTTAGCATAATGTCATTAAGATTCAGAAGTTATGTAAGGATATTTGAGTGTAGAATGCATGATGGAGATGGCTGATTTAACTTCTAGGAGGAGCAAAGCTGTGTTTGTAATGCTTGCTGTCTATTGCATGATGGATGAAATTGCACTGCCTCTAGTAGAGTTTCCTACCTAGAGTTAAAATGCAGCCATACTCATTCACCAGTGTAAACATATAGGAAGTCTGTGTGGTTATAGCAGTTAGTTTGTGCGTGTAACAGCGAAACATCAAGAGCTGTACCTTCCCTGGCCAAATTCTACCCTCTTTGCACACTTGTAACCCCACTGAAATCAACAACATTGCACAAAATATAGGTGAGGGTGAACCGTGGATCTGAATTTTCAATCTTAGATATATTTTACTCTCTTGATTAATTATAATTACTAGGCATCAGATGTTGAGAAATACTGATGCTAAACACACATGCATTTCATAGTGTTACTTAGTCCTTCCAAATTCCTTGTACTTTAATAAATGAATGAAAATCTCTCACCAGGACACTTGGAAGCTGCGGCGATAAGGTTTTCATTATCTTGTTCAGTATACACAAATGAAGCAGTTCAGTCAGTCATGTTTGAACAGACTAACAATCATATTTTTTCACAAGAGTTTTCTATTAGGAAACCAAATTGAGTAAAATATTGCATTGACACCTTGCTTTTGAAATGCAGTTGTATTTTAGGAGAACTGTATAATACCCTTGTTTCTTTATTTGATGATGCAGAGGTAGTTTTTCTTAAGGAAAAGTTAATTTTCATTTATTTTTCCAGTGTTTTTCATGAGTTTACATGCATCTTTGAACCATTTCTGTATGAGAAATATTAGTCGGCAAAGTGATAAGATGCATGAGAATCAGATTTGATGTGGTTTGAGGGGCAGCTGAGTATGGGGACTACTTACAATCAACAGGAAAGAAAATAATTATCTTGGGTTGGTCTTTTCAGAATCAGCCTCAAGTCAAATCCATATTAAGGTTATTAAATCCTGTATCCTTCCTCATTCCTTGGAGAGAATATTGAAATATTCAGGCTGACTTTACCAAAAAAAAAATCTGCTTTGCCTTTACAGGAAGTTGTGCCACATGACGACTTTGGCTGTTTTTATTTGCTACCAAGAGGAGAGAAGCCCAAAAGAGATGAATGCACAACCAGATGAGCCACTTGAAATTCTTACATGTGTTCAGGATGATTCTGCAGACAAGAAATGAATTCCTGGACCAACCTACCCTCATAGCAGATCTGGTAGACAGTTGAGAACAATGGAAACCTAAAAGAAGGATAAAGTAATTAAAGTGGTTTTGAAAGCTTACTTTCTGAAAAGAGCCCCAATGCATCACTACGCAATGCAGAATTGTGCAGAAATTAACGTGCTGACAATTTATTTTCCCACTAGACTACAGAGCTGCTAGCCACCACTAGGGCCTGCTGGATGCTAAAGAGCTCAGTTTGCACATAGACTGCTGGATGGAGGAAGAGGGAGTTTGAGGGTTCTTGGCAGATGCAGTTCCCAGCATGCCCTGAGGGGAGGAAAGGGTGGCACAAAGAAAACTCTGTGTAAGTCTGAGACCAAGCATCCGGCTGCTTCTCGCTCTGGATCTTTGGGCTCTAGAGTTTGAGGAGGCAGCTACCTGGGCAAGTGGGGCCCTATGGGTGGGCTCTGGGGGAGAGGTGAAGAAAGGGGGTAAATAAATAGGAAGTAGGTTGTCATAGGGGTTTCGTTAGGTCTATTGTGGGGGTATTTTTGTGTGTGACCTGGAGAAGGAGAAAAAAAGAGAATAAGGATTCTGGGAAGGGATACGGATGGAGGAGTGAGGGGTGCTGAGGGTTTGGGTTATATGGGACAGCAGTGGGGGGGAAGGGAGGAGTTAGGGTGGCAGAAGGAGGCTCTGGCCAGGAGGCACTTACTTGTGTGGCTCCTGGCCAGTAGCCCAGCAGATTCCTTAGCCAGGGTCCCTGCCTTTCATGTCCCTGCACTTCATGTCCCTGCACATGCTCAGAGCAGCTATAGGGGCCATGTGTGCTGCTCTGAACTGACTGCTATGAGCGTGGGGGAGGAGAAAAGGGGTACTTAACATGGTGCCTCCTGGCCAGAGCCTCAAACTCTTTCCTTTTTGTGGTGGAAATTATCATTGGTCAAGTAGTTTTGTTCTGCATGTCATTCAGCCTTTGGCTTGTTCTGCAGATACTGACCGTAAGGGTGCAGGCTTATATGAATAGTGATGATTAAGGCTAAGATATAGTTGTGGGTATTTTAAGTTAGGGACAAGTTACGAGTGATAAATTCACGGCCCGTGAGCTGTCCATGACTTGTACTATATACCTCTAAAACTTGCTTTTGGGGGGGCCAGCCAAGAGACGTTGGGTTGGTAGCCTGGTAGGCTTCCTACCTTTTTCTGAGTGGCTCCCTGGAAGCAGCAATGTGTGTCTCAGCTCTTAGGCAGAACATTGTCGGGGGGCTTCATGTGCTGCCCTTACCCTGAGCACCAGCTCTGCAGCTCCCATTGGGTGGGAATCCTAGCCAATAAGAGCTGAGGAGTGAAGCCTGCAGGTGGAGGCAGTGCACAAAGCCATCTGGCCGCACCTCTGCCTAGGAGCTGAGGGATGTGTTGACGCTTCTGGGGAGCCACCTGGAGTTTGTGCCCCAACCCCAGCCCTGAGACCCCTCCCACACCCAAACTCCTGCTACAACTGAGGGGGAGTGTTGTGGCCCAAGACCACCCCAGCAGTAGTCCAGAAGCTGTCAAATCTGCTCAGGCAGCATCCAGACCAGCTGTACTGGCCCCTACAGAAGTCAAAGATCATAGAAAGTAATGGAATCCATGACAGACTTGCAGCCTTAGTGATGGTGCCTGGAGTTGTGAACACCTGTCCTTGATGGTGTTCTTGTTTCATAAAGACCTTTACACAGTTGTGAGCTAGTAATAACTTTTGACCATAACAAGTCTACCAATTCAGTATTAAAAAAAAAACAAAAAAAAAAACTACTTACTTCTCAACCATGTTTTTCTGTTTCAGGATCTTGTAGACTTCAGCTGAAGTCTGAGGACCTTGTAGCTTTTGTCCATTCAGCATCTCTCTTTCCAGCTCCTCAATTGACTAGAAGAAATGAGAGTGATCACACAAGTAGAATATAAGGAAGCTGCATAACCAAACAGTGTGTCAGGCAGAAAGGTTCTGAAAATATTAGACAAAAGAATCCAGTGACTAAACTGCAGCCCACGCCTGCTTTGCACTTTTGTTATAGGCCAAATGATTAATGAACAGAAGGCAGTGGGAGGCTTGGAATAGATTCTTTCTTGGGTCCCTTAGCAGTGGCTGAGGCATACAGTCCATATTATATAACCTTTGCTTTTATACGCAGAAGGAAGCAGCACCCGACGTGCTTGTTCCAAGCGGGAAGCTGATTTTCATTTATTCTAGAATTGTGGGATACTATTCTCTGTTCTTCCAATTTATATTAGTCCAACTTTCTGCAGGCCAGAGCTTTCAACTCTTGGAATAATATGTGCTGCACCAATCCCCAAAAGAGTCTTTGCAGTTAGCAAGGTAAGAGTCAGGTCTGAACACTCCCCTCTCAGATCAGAGGGAATGTTGCTGCCAGTATTAACCTTCCATCAGGACTGTTGATGTGTATGTAAATCACTATGTAACATATGGACTTATGATGTCTCAAAAATGTTCCTTACTTTTCCTGTCCGCACAAAGGCTTCCGCTACTTTCCTGTTGCGTCCCCCATAGCATGTAGTGATTAGATCAGCAACGCCACAACTCTCCAGGAAAGTAGCTATTGATACTGGACCCCTGCAGAATAGCTTTGCAAAGGCTACCATTTCCATGAGACCCAAACGAATAACTGCTGCTTTTGTATTATCGCCAAAGTCCAATCCATCGCAGAATCCGGCTCCTACAGCTACTATGTTCTAAAAGCAGTGGATTGGAAAAGGTGCAAAAGAGAGGAGGACACCAAGTTAGATATGATGTGCAGTTCTTTGGCAGCATATGCTAATTGTAAAAGAACACAGTAGGAGTAAACGTGTTTTCACTTTAACTCTCTCGGGTATTCCAATTCCAAATAATTGTGAGCATATTTCATACCACTTAAATGTCTAATTGCTCTCAAATGTAAAGTAGTTGGACTTCTATGACCGGAAAAAAAAGTTCCCACTATTATTTCAGGTTGCAAAATGAAGGGATGTTTTAAAAATTTGGTCCATATAGTGCATCTAGAATATTTTTTTCCTCTTGTTGTCAGGTTGGCATTGGGATCTGGGCACCTTTCTCTTCTTGCCTTTAATTGAATCTTTGTCTATCCTGGGTGTCTACCTCCACAAACAGGCACTGGTTGCAGGAGCTCATGCTTATTGAGCTCAGTCTTGGCCTATGCTTACAGTAATATATTACCCTCCTTATAAGAAGTTTAAAAGAGGTTCGTCGGGAATCCTAATCGAATGCTTAATCAAAAATATTCCATGCTTAGTATTCAGACAGTTCACAATATATTAGAGTAGTAGATGTCAGAGTGGCTACCCAGAAATACTCATGCCTCAGTTTTGCTCTCTGCACATACACTCAAACTCTCATTTCAGCAG